GGGAGTAGAAAGCCTCATCTTTCTCCCGCAGAGTGGCTATTAGTTTCGAACCACTGACTTTAAGGTTTGCAGCCCGATTCGTAACCACTACGCTACCAGAGCTCCTTATACAACGGATAGTCATCCTTTTTTTTTAAAGTTTTTATTGTGAATTGAGTGATAGTTTACACTGGAGAACATCGGTTTTACACGCATTGTTTCATTGCAATGATTACAATCACCTCTGTTTTGCATCATCATTCAACAGAATTTGTTTCTGTTTCCCCTGTCTTTTTTTAGGGGGTATGTATACAAAAACACTCATTTAAACAACCAAAGAGCACCCTCTGCAAGCCTGTCTCCTGGCCACCAGCACACAACACAGTCTTTCTCTTTCAGGAGTCTAAAGAGTCCTCAGCTGCTCTATCTCTCCATGGCCTCATCTCTGCCTCCATCTCTGGTGTCGCTACTTTTCTGGATAGAGTCCCCCCTATTTTTCTATTTTATTCCCAGTTTCTTGTTGCTTTAATTTTCACTACTGACAAATGGTATGAAGAAATTAAACGATGACTGCCCCTTCTAGAATATATGCTTCATGAGATCAAGAATCTTTTCTGTCTGGTTTACCTGTATATCCTGGCCCTTCCAACAGTGGTTGGCACATAGCCGTGCTCCATGAATGCTAGTTAAATGAACTAGTTGAATTTCAGTAGCCTTGATACCAAACCTAGTTTTTGTTTGCCATGTAGTTTTGTGCAGTTTTCTAGATTTCAACAAGCCAGTTAATAATGCTCTGCCAGAAGTAAAGTTGTTGCTGTTATGTGCTGTTGACTCGATTCTGACCCATAACGACCCTGTACAGGGTTTCCGAGGCTATAAATCTTTACAGGAGCAGAAAGAGTCATCTTCCTCCTGTGGAACCGCTGGTAGTTTTGAACTGCTGACCTTGAGATTAGCAGCCTGATTCATAACCATTATGCTACCAGAGCTCTGAAATCCTGGTGTTCAGTGGCTGGCAGTGTACAATTTAGGGTGCAGCACTTGAAGAATTGCTGGGAAGTGCTCGATGATGCCTTTTGCCATTAAATAATGATGATGATAATAGTAATAACTTCACTATTTTGAGTACTTTGCATATACTTTAGGCACTTTACAGATGAGCATCTGAGCCTCAGTCAAATTAGGCATTGAACAAGATCACAAGAAGTCTGAGTTTGTTTCTCGAATGATTTTGACTTGATACATTTATCCTTTAATTTAGATAAACGAAGCAGACATCTTGGTGCTGATGGTGTGTACTTGGATGACCTCACAGATATGGATCCAGAAGTGGCTGCCCTTTATTTCCCCAAAAAGTAAAATGCTCTTTTAATTCCTCATATCATGTTCTATAGTCTGAATACTATTCGGTCTCTTCTGTTTGATAAGAACACTAGTAAGCAAAGGCAGTGAGAGGTTCCTAGTTTACCATGAAAAGCACCCAGGGGGAAGAATTGGCTCAGAGTTGTGTGCGCAGCCTCTCTGTGTACACATGCATGTGGCTGGCTGTCCAGCTTTCTGACAGGAACCTGGACTCCAGGCTCTTCCTCCAGTCTGGGTCTGAGGCTTTGTCTGTTGTGGCGATTGCACGACTAAGGAAATCATTGTCAGGAAGTGGGCAGCTGCACAGTCCCTCCTCACCAGAAGAGGGTCTCCCGTGCTGGCCCCTGGGATCTCATCTTCAGCTCATCCTGGGGATGGCTGCTTTTGTCTTTTAGTTGATTTCTCATGGACTTGGGGGAGGGGATTCAAGGTAAAGACACTGGTTTAACCGTAATCACCCCTGCGCAGGTGAATTGATTTTGCTTCTCTTTCTTTGCTATGGTGCTTTAACAAAAAGTCTACTCTGAATTGCAATTGTTTGCTACTCTGAGGCTTAGCAGATTGCTAGAGAGTAATTGGATATCTGTGTAAGACCCTTCAAAATGGGAATTCGTAGCACACCTATTTTTTTCTCTTCCCAGTGGAGATACTGCTGGGCTTGCCAAACATGCCAATGACAATGGAGCCCGGTCAGCCAACCAGTCCCCACAGTCCGTGGGCAGTTCTGGCATTGACAGTGGTGTGGAGAGCACTTCGGATGGCCTGAGGGACCTGCCGTCCATTGCCATCTCCCTTTGTGGGGGCCTCAATGACAACAGGGAAATAACTAAAGGTATAGCAGCCACTGGGTGGGAACCTGGTTTTTAAGCCAAGCTCGCCCTCTTGTGGTAATTTATCAGAACTTCCAGAAAATCAGCTTAGTTCACTTCAAAGTAGCTCTTCATTTGTAGTACAAACTGCTTAATGTTCCTTCATGATCCAAATGTCTCAGGTTTGTAGTTAGCTGACCTCAGGTAACAATACAGCCATTGGCATTATTTAGCTGTTCATGGTCAGTGTTTGTTGAGTATTTTTGGGTGTCTCTTGAGCCCTATGCCAGTCACACAGAGCTGTCAGCCCATAGCCTGCAATCCCACGGGAATACAAGTATTTTATTAGAACACTGATTTTTTTTTTCTTCAAAACTTTCTAATGAGACTAAATTTATTCACTACTGTAGTAAAAGTTTTGATTATAAGTATCCAACAGTTTTTAATAAAAAGTACAAAACAGATTTTAGATTTCTAATATATTAATACAAAGTACATGACTACATACAGTAACCTTACAGGCAAAGAGAGGTGGAAGGGGAAAAGAAGGCTGTGGTTGAATTGTTGTTGTTGTTGTTAGGTGCCATCGAGTCAGTAC